AGCAAGTAGGATTCCAATTCAACAAGAGTGAGACAAATGTCTTGAACTCTATTTCAGACATCAAACCCGCACACAACCTTTTCTTAAGGTGTATTCTAATGGCCCGTGCTTTAATGGCCCTGCACGTGTATCTCAGTTTAATGAAGGCTCTAGGAATTCTGCCTCGAAATTCCATAGGAACCGACCTAAGTTCCACAATCACATAGGTGAGTCTATCAAGAGTACTCCTATAGTCTAGGTACTCCCTCATACAGAGTATAGATCTCATTAAGAGTTTCTATTATCTCAACCTCTTATTACTTCAGGATTCATGCTTTACTTGCATGATCATCTCATATTACTCACAACTTGTTATTAACCATTGAACCTATTTCTTGGGATCTCCAGTCATTTAGGTCGGGTTACCATCATGAGCAACTCATTTTCCTATAGGCATTAGTCCCATCTTATATGATGTATTATAGACTTTCTCTCTAGCTAATCCTTTCGTCAAAGGATCTGCTAAATTTTCATCAGTGCGTACATGATCCACTCTTACAGCTCCTTTAGAGATACAATCTCTAACAATGCTATGCTTTCTTCTTATTTGACGTCTTTTACCATTATAATAACGGTTCTCAATTTTTGCAATAGCCGCGGTACTATCGCAGTGGGTCAACATAATTGACATATGTTTTTCCCATAAGGGAATCTCAGTTAGCAATCATCTTAACCAAATTGCTTCTTCACTAGCAGTCGCTAATGCTATATTCTCAGGATAATATGTTTCTTTGATTTCCAAGATACAACTCCTCTAGCTATGTTGAATACATAGCCACTAGTTTCTTTGGAATCATCTGATAAGGTATTCTAATCTGCATCATTGTATCCTTCAGATACAATAGGAAATCTCTGATAATGTAAACTGAGATCATGGTCCTTTTAAGGTACTGACTTGCTCAATAGCTTGTCAATATTCATTACTCGGTCTACTAGTAAACCCGCACAACAATCCCACGACATATGCAATATCAGGTTTGGTACAATCAATGGAATACCTAAGACTTCCAATGATGCTCGCATGTTCTGTTTGTCTAACACTTTCACCAGTGTTCTTAAACAGCTTCACGCTTGGATCATTTGGTGTGCTCACAGGTTTACTGTCAAAGTAATTATATTTCTTTAAGATCTTTTTCACATATTGTGATTGATCCAAAGAAATTCCTTGCTCGGATTTTATGATCTTGATACCAAGAATCACACTCACTTCTCCGAGGTCTTTCATATCAAAGTTGCTGCACAACAATGATTTCATATCATTAATGACCTGAATGTTTGATCCAAATATGAGTAGATCGTCTACATATAGACATATGATAGTGTAAATATAATTCTCAAATTTGTAATAAACGTATTTGTCACTTTCATCACTTTGTACACATTCGATATCATTAAGTTATCAAACTTTACATGCCATTGCTTTGGAGCTTGTTTTAGCCCATACAAAGACTTATCTAACTTACAAACCTTGTTTTCTTGTCCATGGATCACAAACCCTTCCGGTTGTTTCATATAGATTTCTTCTTCTAAGTCACTGTTTAAAAAAGTTGTTTTAACATCCATTTGGTGTACTATTAAGTTATAAATAGCAGCTATTGAAATAAGTACCCTAATGGATGTAATTCTAGTGACAGGAGAAAAGGTGTCGAAGAAATCTATATTTTCTCTTTGTCTAAAACCCTTGGCAACAAGGCGAACCTTGTATTTATCAATAGTTCCATCAGGTTTTAGTTTCTTTTTCAAAACCCATTTACAACCGATTGGTTTGCAACCAGGAGGCAAGTCTACTAAGTGTCAGGTCTTGTTAGATTCTAGAGATTCTATCTCATCATTGATAGCTTCTTACCATAACTAAACATCCAGAGATGACAAGGCTTCTTGAAGATTCATTGGATCTTCTTCTACATTATAAGCCGCATAATCAGGCCTATAGTCTTTAGAAACTCTTACTCGTTTACTTCGTTGAAGTTCTGTTTCTACATTGTCGTTGCTTTCTGTGCTTCTTATCACATGAATGTGACTCGATTGTGTGCCCCCACTATTTCTCAATTTGAAAGGAAATTTGTCTTCATAGAATTCAACATCATTTGATTCTATGATCACTTTTGCCTTTAGGTCATAAAACCTATATGTTTTACTGTTTGCTGCATACCGAATGAAAACACATTCATATGCTCTACTAGCGAGTTTAACTCGTTTCAAATCCGGAATTCTAACGTAAGTCAGACAACCCCAAGTTCTCAAATAAGATAAGTTTGGTTGTCTTTTCTTTAATATCTCATAAGGAGAGATCTCACATTTTGACTTGGGGACTCTATTCAGGACATAGCAAACAGTCAATAAAATTTCCCCCCACCAGTGAGGTGCAGCACCAGAATTCATCATAATTGCAATAATAAGTTCAGTAAGAGTTCTATTCTTTCTTTTTGTTTTACCATTCATTGCAAGATAGTATAGTGCATTCGTTTCATATACAATTCCATGTATAAAATTCATTAAAAAACTAGAATCATACAGTTTATCTATCACTATAAATTCTTATTATATCATTTTCAAATTCTTTACAAAAATTTTAAACATATAAACTTCATTCTTCGTAATGGCATACAAATCTACCCCAATAGACTGACTAAACTCTATCTTATTTAAAAGAAAATCAGAAATAATATTCTTTCTAATCTTAGGAACATGCATAACATTCCTTAAGATTAAAGTCTTTTTGAAGGTGAAATTTAGCTCCATGTCTACAATTCCAGCAACATTGGTGGTCTGGCCATCTCCCAACAACACTTTCTTATCTTTAGTATTCATGTATGTTTAAACATAACACGATCATAATAGACACAACGAGAGACGCATGTGTCTATCCACCAACCAACATATCCATCAACCATGTTGATTTCAATGACCATAGTAATAAATTGCCCATTAGTCAGGTTGACCCATGCATTAGGAACAACACCAAGTTCAAGCTTACTTCTACATTTCTTAGTCATATGACTTGATTTTCCAAAGTTAAAACAAAGAGAAACCAACGTCATTTCTTTTAGGTGGTGGTTGTTGCCTAGTTGGAGCTATTGGGATCATAGAAGGATTCCCATTCTTAATTCGGTTCGCAATATTGTGGTTCTGATTCTTTAATCATTTTCCAAATGGCTTCAGAACTACACCGAATTTCTTTTTGTTGTTTAAAACAACCAAGACTTTTTCATTTTGATATTGTCTCTAAGATTCCCTTTTTTGGTTTTTTAAATATTCAAACTGTGGGGTAGTTTGTCAATAATAAAACCAATTTGAAATTGTTCATTTAAACACATACCTTTTGTGATGATCTTTTAAGCAATCTTTTGAAGTTCGTAACATTGAGCCTCCATATCGACCTTACATCTTTGCATTTGATACTTGAAGTTGCGACTAACAACATACTTATTTGCTCCAGCTTCTACGTCATACTTCTTTTTCTGAGTCTCTCAATCTTGTTTTTGCAGTATCACATCAACTGTAATTATCATACAGATCATCTGCGAGTCTATTCAAAATATGATTTTGTAGAGATTTTCATTCTCTTTCTATAAGGTGATTTCTTTACTATGCTGTAAATCATCCGCTTTAATCTGTGCAGCAGATTCAACTTTAACACTATTAAGTGTTCCTTCTAAATCTCCAGATTTACTACCGTTAGTTTGTTCGATTGATCCAGAAGGAGCAACAGAATGTCATCGATCAAAACGTTAGCAATTTTTTTCAACATTAAGAACTTCATCTTTTGTTGCCAACGTTTGAAGTGACTTCTCTCAAACATGAACGATTTCTCAACGACAATATCCGCAAAAGAACCAATAATTTCTTCGGTAGTCGTGGCAGTTTGAAACGTCTTAAAATTGTTGGATTTTGGATTTTGAAATATTTGCCACCGAAGAAATTACCAGGTTGAGTCGCAGACTAGGTCGCTCTCTTTAAGACGTTTCACGGCACTGCTCAAAATTATGCAAAGCAGTCAAACTACCGCGCCGCCTCCAGGATAAAACAGTCCAGTTTTATACTGTACGATTACTACTTGCATGATAGATAATCGGTCTAGAAATACACCCTCTGATGGTACAAGACCATTCAAATATGGTATCAACACCACTCGTAGTATCTGGTACAAAGACCAGTCATAATAATTTCTTAAACAAAAAGAAACTCAAATAATTCTCCAAAGAGAAATTAATAATGGTCATTTGACCACTCATAATAATTTCTCCAACAAAGAGAAATTCAAATAATTCTCCAAAGAGAATCTAAAAGATTAAACTTGAAAATTTCTCAAATCAAATGATGAGAAATTAACATAATTCTCTAAAGAGAATTCAAGAAAATACTCAGAAAATTCAACGAGTAGGAAGAAAGGGGAAGAATAAGAGTGAGGAAGAAAAAACTAATAGAATAATTTTTGGTGTGTTTTGGAATGAAACATATGCACTCCTTATATAGTGAAGTAATATAGTTAATATTTCTCACATGAGCAATGTGAGACTAAATGATTTTTTTCAACCAAAAAGATATTCTAGCAATGCGGGACTTGAGAAATTTTTAAATTCAATATATTGAAACATGGACATGTTCTAACACTTTAAACGAGAAAAAATTTATATGTTATATAATTACTTTTATAAATAATGATAAGTTACAATTATATTATAAATATTTTTAAAAATATATCTATAAATAAAATAGATTGTTTATTTTAATAATTTTTTAATTCAATAGTTGAATGTGTTTGCAGACATAAATCCGAACCAATAAATTATTAGTCTATATTTAAAAAATTAATTCATATTTTGTAAGTGATACGATAGAAGTTGACTAATAATATCCTTCGCAACGAGTATTCATTCATTGACCAGCGAAATCTGGACTTCCAAAAATCAAAGAGGAGCGTAGTTTTGTTGTAATTTCTTTCTCAAGCTCTTTTTCTAATGACGGTTATTGTGAGAGGAACACTCGTCTCGAATTCCGTGAAGTTGTTGTTAGAAAAGTTTGTTTCTACTGAGTTTGTGGACAACTTCGGGAGCACAAAGCTTGAAGTTTCATACTTGAAAAAGCTGAAGACAACACTAACATGGGTTCAAGATATACTCAATGATGCCGAGGAACAAAATGTTTTTGAAGTTGCCAATTTGCTTGACGAAATCAACACTGAGGCATTGCGACGCAAAGCGGAAGCCGAATATGAAATCCTAACTTCTTCCTCTCTAGTGTTGAAAACTATTTTTTCTCCTTTCAAACGGCTTAGTAGTGTGATTAATTTTAAAATGCAAAAATTTATTGAAAGATTAGAATGGTTGAATTCAGCATTACAACAAGGCGGGTTAGCTGTTTTCCATTCTAGCACTTTAATGCAGGGAGAGCAGGAAGTAGGATCATCATCACAACACGAGAAGAAAGAGTTGCACTATCCATGCATACATTTGTTTTTGTTCACTATTTGAGACCTCTGAAAAGTGAAGATTGCTTGTCTATAGTTACCAGACTTGCATTTGGAGCACACTACCAACAACAAATGGATGAATTTCACAGGAAAGTAGAAAAAAAATGTGATGGAGTACCACTAGCTGCAGTAGTACTTGGCAGGGCTCTTTTTCACGCCAAATTTGCTCTGGGATTTTGTGCTTGGAAGTAACATTTGGGAATTGGGAGATTATAAGTTAAAAGCTGCTTTACATTGGAGCTACCGTTATCTTTCGGATCCTTTAAAACCGTGCTTTGCATATTGTTCAACTTTTCCAAAGAAGTCCATCTTAGAAAAAAGAAGGTAGTTCAATTGTGGGTTGCAGAAGGCCTAGTCAAATTTTCCACAAGTCAAGAAAGTTGGAAAAAAGTTGGAGAAGAATACTTTGATGAGCTAGTTTCAAGGTCATTGATACATGGACGATCTATTGATGATGAGGAAGTAAGCTTTGAAATGAATAACCTCATTCATGATTTAGCTACAATGGTTTCATTTCCATATTGCATCAGGTTTGATGATCAAATCTTACATGAAAGGGTGCGCTATTTGTCATACAATAGAGAGTTATATGACTCATTTTATAAATTTGATAAATTGTATGGATTAAAAGATTTGCGTACCTTTCTAGGATTGCCATTACAAGAACAATTGCCTCTTTGTTTGCTATCGACGATGAAAGAATTACACTTATTGTCTCAGTCAAACTACAGGAATATCACTGAGGTTCCCAACTCTATTGGAAATTTGTTACACCCGCGGTACTTAAATCTTTCTTACACTAAGATTGAAAGGTTGCCTTCAGCAACATGCCAGCTTTACAATCTGCAATTCTTATTGGTGTCGGGCTGTAAAAGGCTCTCTGAGTTGCCAGAGGACATCGGAAAATTGGATAATCTACGCCACCTTGACGTCAGTGGGAGTGCATTGAGGGAGATAGCCATACAAATTGCCAAACTAGAAAATCTCCAAACTTTGTCCGACATTGTTGTTAACAAACATAATGGTGGGTTGAAGGTTAGAGAGGTAGGAAAATTTCCCCACCTACAGGGAAAACTTTCCATTTCACAACTACAATATGTCAATGACCCCTTTGAAGCTTCTCTAGCCAATATGACGATGAAAGAACAAATAGATGAGTTAGCTTTAGAATGGGACTGTGGTAGTGCTTTTTCAGATTCACAAATTCAAATTTCTGTACTTGAACATTTGCAACCCTCTACAAATTTGAGAAGTCTCACCATCAAAGGCTATGGTGGAATCTGTTGGCGATTTTGTATCACCAATGTATTTTAGTAGTAATGTGATTTCTAAAGGCCGATGCAATTATGCGTTAAGTTCGGAGACGAGTTAGGGAAGTGCGGAGTGCACGCTCGTCGAGCCAATGCATGATTGAATACGAATAATTGAAACGGGGTTCCAAGGGGCGAAGCCCCTGGCGGGGTGCGGGGCAGCGCCCCGTTGGGGTTCCAAGGGGCGAAGCCCCTGGCGGGGTGCGGGACAGCGCCCCGCGGGGTCCAAGGGGCGGAAGCCCCTGGCTGGGGTCCCGCTGCCAGGTCAGCGCCCCGTGCAAAAATTTTGAATCTTTTCCCCAACGGACATAACTGTTCCCCAACGGACATAACTGTTTCCCAACGGACATAACTGTTTCCCAACTGACATATTCGTTTCGAACAAATGTGTCTCTTCGTTTCAATTACTGTTCTCCTATATAAGGAGTCGTTCGGCCTCGGTCTCGTATACAGAAAAAACGCATCCTTCTCTCTATAATTACAATTCGTTTCTTTTGTCGGAAACAGAATTTCTTCGAGAATTATCCCCACAAAGATTTCGTGAACCCAGACAAGAATAGGGTCGAAATACTTTGTTCGGAAAGTGTACGAACACGATTCATCGAAGTTATCCAGGATTATCACACCCTAAATTTCTAACAGAATCAGCTTTCCAATTTGGTTGGGTGATTCTTTATTTAGAAACATGGTTTATTTAAGGATCTCAAATTGTGATGAATGTTTATGGCTTCCACCCCTTGGACAATTGAGGAATCTGAAAGAACTCGTTATTGAAGGGATGCAATCAATATAGACAATGGGTATTCTCCCTGTCCTCAAAAGTCTGTTTATTGAGGGTTAAAATTTGAAATCAATATTAATTGCAGAAGATGCGTCTCAAAAGAGTCTCTCATTTCTTAGAAGCATCAAAATATGGGATTGTAATGAATTGGAGTCATTTTCCCCCGTTGGATTGGCCACTCCAAACCTCATTTATTTTGCAGTGTGGAAGTGTGAGAAGCTTTCTTCACTACCAGAAGCAATGCACAATCTAACTGCCCTTCAAGAAATAGAAATTGATAATCAACCAAATCTTCGATCTTTTGTCATAAATGATTGGCCTATTAGTTTGAAGGAACTGACTGTTGGCTTTGTTGGAGAGATTTTGTGGAATGCTGACCCAACTTGGGAACATCTCACTTGTCTCTCAGTGTTGCAAATTAACAGCGATGATACAGTGAACGCGTTGATGGGGCCATTGCTACCCGCTTCTCTTGTGAAAGAAACTATGCATTTGTGGTCTAAACGCTACAGGCATTGATGCGAAGTGGCTTCAAAATCTGACTTCTCTCCAAAACCTTGAGATTATTAACGCTCCCAAAGAAAGGATTTCCTTCCTCTCTTTCAGTACTTAGTATGTTATCATCAATTATTGTAAATTTTAATAGTAACATCAAAATACAAAATTATAGCATTAGCACTAACTCATTTATTTTAATCACAGAAGTGTATTTTGTGTCACCCCTACTTCTTCCCAATATCGCTATATAGTAAGAAGCCAAATTCACCTCAAAACCTGCCACCAAGTCCAGTGATAGTTTTTCTGTTCAGGAACATACGAAAAGGAGAAAACACCACTGACTCCAAATATGTTGGGCGTTCTTTTTATCTATATGACTTCATATATATTTTAATGAGTTGGTTTCAATGCATTGACTGTATCAAACTTTTTTAACACGGTTTAAATTCTTCTCTATTCTATTAGGCTAATACATATCATTCATTTATGCATTTCCACAATTGTGTTTATCTAACTGTCTTGACTTGATATTTTTTCCTTATGTTAGTTAATTGGAACTTTCTCCCTTAGCTAAAATTGACTAACACCCTTGTCCGTGTCTTAAAATCTCATCCAAGCCTAACTCTTTTGTTTTTGCTTACTTGCTTTGTCCTATAATAATTGAACATCATCATCAAGTTTGACACAGTATCTCTATGGAAGTCATTTATCCTAAATTTTGCATGAAACTCCTATTTATTCCTTTGTAGGTGATGAATCTTCTATTTGTGGTATAGATGATGAAAGAAAGATTCATTACCCAGTCCTCAAAACTACGAGTATTTCAGATTGTGAAAACCTGAAGTCGATATTCATTGCAGAAAATGCGTTGCAGCAGAGTCTCTCATTTCTTAGGAGCATCACAATACAGTTTTTGTGATAAACCGGTGTCATTTTCCTTGGGTGGATTACCCACTCCTAATCTCATTTATCTGGACATGCAAGATTGCGAGAAACTCTGTTCACTACCACAACTGATAAACACTATGGATAGCCTTCAAGAAATGGAAACTCAAGGGTGATTGTGTGACTGGAATCAAGATGGAAACAGTGCATCTCAGGTATAAATTTCCTCTATGAAAACTTTTAGCATTACTTCTTTAGCTTCACTTTGCAATAGGACTATTATTTACTAGCATATCTCTGGTTTTATTACAAGTTTTAGAAATAGAGATAATAGCTTGAGCAACTCCTACAAGCATCAATTTTCAGTCAGAGTGATTTTGCAGCAACTACTTTACCGCTGAGCGCTGGATGAAGTAGAGGAACCATACTTATAAAAATCAAAGAGCAGCAGTGTTTTCGTATAAGCTGCATGCATTGCTGTGGTTTCTAACGCCATTCTTAATAGTTAAAACTAAGAAACTTAGGGTGGCTTTTTATGCTAGAAGCACTTTTTTCCAAGCTTATGTGGAGGTGTTATTTGAGAAGATTCTTTCTCGTACATACTTTGAATCAGGTAGTAAAAAGTCTGTGTTTTAAATTCACTATCATTTGATCAAAAGGTATTTCCAAATCATATTTTTTGGTTCTACAATACACTTTTTATAAAAATGGGCTAATAACATTACACTATAAATTTGTGGAAGGCTTATATATCACCACTCTAAAAGATCATGACACTAATACAAAACGTGTCAACAACAATGTCATGGTTATCACGGTTCTTTCCTACACCGTAATGACATATCTAAATTAAGGCTGATAGAAGACCCACCAGAATTGCAGCCAAGCCCAAATATTTAAAAGATTTTATTCTCAACTAGTTAATTTTATTTTGTTAATTTTGGACTTTTATATTTCTTTTGGGTCTGACCCATAGTTGAGACCCTTTAGGGTTATTCTGTTTGTATTTAAGCTGGTGGCTGCATAAATAAAGGATGGGAAAAATTAACACAAATTTATTTCTTCTTGTATTTTCTTAGCAATTTAGTTTTGTGTTTGTCCTTGGTTACACCCTAGATCTAGGAATCAATAGTTGTGGAACCTCTTTCTATCAAATTGGTGCTTTCATCTTGCACTCATGGCCCCTCCAAAACCCCCCAACCCTAGAGAAATTGTGGAAGAAGCAGTTCATACAGCACAGGCCCATTTGAGCAATGTTATGCAAGAAAACCAACAACAAATGGATGAGCGATTTGAAAAAACACAGTCAGATTTGGAACAAATTCATATTCGAATGGATAATGAAAAGCAAGTGGCTGATTCAAGATATGAAAACATCATGGGATTGCTCACAAAGCTGGCAGCTCAGGCAGAAAAGCAACCCGCTGTGGCTACTGTTTCATCTACTGTACACGCAGCAACTGTTCATGGCGGACCTACTGTTCATGGCAGTCCCACCCTAGGCTCTACTGTTCATAACGCTACTGTTCACGGCGCCAGCTCATCAGGTGTTGTTCAAAATTCTTCCTTACTTAACCTGAACACTACTGTTCATTCCCCTATCTCAACTTTACACACACCTCACTCATCCCTCAATTTTCCACGTCACTCAAATACCCCAAGTTCTAGTAATTTACCACCACCCCCAAATTTCTCAGCAGTGCGCACAACAACCTCTTCTGTCCCTAGATTCTATTCTACTCAACCTTATCTTGATTCTGTTACTTACTTCCCACCCCCTATTTTTACCACCACCCAGCCACAACCAACGCACCATTATAACCAAATACCATTTGCTCCACATTTTTCCCCACCACCCCCTACCTTCCGCACTCCGAAACTTGAACTAGCAATGTTTGATGGATCAAACCCACTCGAATGGTTATTCCAAGCTGAACAGTTCTTTACTTATTATAATTTACCACCAGAAAATCGCATGGCTATGATGTCCTTTTATATGAAGGGAGAGGCTTTATGTTGGTTTAAGTGGATGCATCAAAACCATCAGCTTATGGATTGGATTTCTTTCACTAAAGCACTTGAATTGCGCTTTGGCCCATCTACGTATACTAACCACCAAGCCGAATTGTTCAAGCTAAAACAAACTCATTCTGTTATGGAATATCAGGCTCAGTTTGAAAAATTGGGAAATCAAGTTGTTGGCCTCTCTCACGATGCTATCCTAAATTGTTTTATTTCAGGATTAGCTCCAGAAATTCAAAACGAAATTGCCATTCACAAGCCCATCTCCATATCCCAGGCCATTGGACTAGCCAAATTAATTGAATCCAAGTTAAGAGATGCCAAGCCCAAATTCCAAAAACCATATACCCCAACTACCATCAGACCCAGCCCACCAGGACAACAATCTCCTAACCCGCCACCTATACCCAAGCCATCAATTTCAGCCCAACCGACTAAATTCCCTATCCGTCGCCTCTCTAATGTTCAATTGCAGGAACGTCGTGCGATGGGACTCTGTTTTAATTGCGATGAGAAATTCATTCCTGGCCATAAGTGTACTGCTGGTAAATTCCTTTTATTGGTAGATGATGATGTACAGATTGATCCTTCTCCCCAAGAAGACAATTTGGAGACTAGCAGTTTAAGTCTGGAACAAAGTGATACCTATTTCCAACTCTCCCCTCAAGCTACCAACGGCCATTTTTCTCCTAAGACTTTAAAATTCAAGGGATCAATCAAGGGTCTATCTGTTACTGTTCTAATTGACACCGAAAGTACGCATAACATTTTACAGCCACGGATTGCACAACATCTCAAACTTCCTACCAAACCAATACCTAACTTTTCTGTCATGGTGGGAAACGGCTCAAAATTATCTTGTTCAGGGATGTGCCCAACTGTCCCAATTCAGTTTCAAAACACTGCCTTCTTAATTCCCTTTCATTTACTTCCTATTGAGGGGGCAGATGTAGTTCTTGGTATGGAATGGTTGCGCACTTTAGGACCTTTAATGGCTGATTTTTCAATCCCTAAGATTTCTTTCACCTACAACAACAATGAAATCACCATAACTGGTGATACAAAAACACTCATCACCCCATCCTCTTTCAACAGTTTTTGCCATCTCCTACAAACCGACTCTATTGCCTCTATCCATCTCCTTCTTTACCAACCTTTGGACAACGAATCTAACTGCCAGGACTCCTCCACACCTAACAGTTTTGACTCTCTTCCCACAACAGTTCCCACCCAGATTTCCTCTATCATCAAATCCTATTCAACCATTTTTGACAAACCTCATGGTTTACCACCATCTAGACCCCATGATCACAGAATTCCAATTATTCCAAACACTTTACCTGTTAATGTTAAACCATACCGTTATCCCCATTCCCAAAAAGATGCAATGACTATAATCATTAAAGATATGTTGCAGGAGGGTATAATTAAACCCAGCAACAACCCTTATTCATCCCCAGTTCTTTTGGTTCGAAAAAAAGATGGATCCTGGCGTTTTTGCGTCGATTACAGAGCCCTTAATGCAGTAACTGTTCGTGACCGTTTCCCAATCCCCACCATAGATGAACTCTTTGATGAACTAGGTTCCGCGACTATTTTTTCTAAGATTGATTTACGATCTGGCTATCACCAGATTCGGGTAACTTCCGAGGACACTCACAAAACTGCGTTCAGAACGTTTGATGGACACTACGAGTTCTTAGTAATGCCTTTTGGGTTGACTAACGCTCCTAGTTCTTTTCAATCAGCTATGAACGATTTGCTTCGACCATACTTAAGACGGTTTGTGTTAGTTTTCTTTGATGACATTTTAATTTACAGTTCTTCAATTTCTGATCATGCCAAGCACTTAAAATTGATTTTAGATTTACTATTGTCTAATCAGTTTTATGCAAAATTGTCAAAGTGTGTTTTTGCTGTTCCTAGTGTTGATTATTTAGGTCATATTATCTCATGCAATGGTGTAACCCCAGATCCAACTAAGATTCAAGCTATTCTTGATTGGCCAAGGCCACGCTCACTCACGGCACTCAGGGGTTTTTTAGGTCTCACCGGCTTTTATCGACGATTTGTTCGCCACTACGCCACTCTCGCCGCTCCCCTCACCGATTTAT